GCCCTCGGGGGCGCGGCAGCCTCGCTGCCTTGCCCAGCTCCCTGGAGAACTCATGTTTGCACATGGCTCCGGTCCCGCCTCTGCGGTACCAGCCTGACCAGCTGCAGGGGCACATGCCGTTGCCGAGGCCAGTGTGAGGAGGACGGAGCCTGGGGGCCGATGGGCTGGTTCTGGGGGAGCACGGGGCCGTCACGCAGCTGCACAGGAGGGCTTCCACGTGCCTCCGTGAAGTCCCACCTGTTTGCGGCTGAGGAAACTGACCCAGGGAGAGTGTTAGTTTTCTATCGCTTGTGACAAAGTTGTCCCCATAACGTAGCAACTTCAAAAGGTGGCAATACTGTGTGCTCTCGGCTTCGGGGGCTCAGCCGTGCACCCAGGCAGGGTGATCTTCGTCCTCGGGGCCTGTAAGCGTTGGCATTGACGCAGCTTGTGACCTGCAGGGCTGGGTCTCGCACAGCGTGGAGGCCGGGCATCTGAGCGGGGATGGCGGGGCCGGGTTCTGGGAGGGCCTCCTGCATGGGCTCCCATGGCGGGAGGGTGAGGGCCCTGGCGTCTTTCTAAGGCATGAGTCCCATCCACAAAGGCTCTGCTTTTATTGTCCAGTCACCCTGTGTGAATTCGGGGTGAGACACAGACACTCGGGCCAGAGCCACTGGAGCAAAGCCTGAGGCCCTGCCCCTACCGCGATTATTCGGTGTTGGCGGTGTCAGGACTGATGTCGGGGTCTCTGGCCTCATGGTGTCTGCTGGGACACGCCCCCGGGCTATGTCCCGGGATGTTGCCCTCAGAAGTGACCCTTGGTACCTCAGTTTCCCTCGGGGGACCTTGGTGAGGGCTTTGGTGGTGGAGGGAGACCCTGGTCTTGGTCCGACATCCGTGACCACCCCACGGGGGGTGTGTAGGGGCAGCAGGGCCAATCTGGCTTCCTGCAGGAGTGTCCTGGGTGCCAGGGGCGAGGCAGGTGGTGCTGGAACCAGGGCAGGCTCTCCACTCTCCGCCTACTTGTTCTCTCCTGAGAAACCCCTGTGGCCTCTCTGAGGCTCCGTCTCCTGGTCGGGTGGGCCTCCGCCCATTTGCCATGCTGTCATGTTCCCCTGCGCCTCAGTTTACCCCTTCTGGCCTGGGCTGCGTGTCAGCCCCCTCCCCCACCGCACACATGTGACTGTGCTATTCCTTGTCCAGCTCCCTGAGGGCTGAGGGCCAAGGGCCCCCCACTTAGGAAGCCCTGTGCTGGTTCGATGCTCTGGCGTCCCAGGTCAAACGTCTTAGTCTCTGAACAAGGGCCTCTTGTTTGCTTTTGTAGTGGGTCCCTCGGCTTCTGCAGCTGGTCCTCGGCTGCTGCCTGGGGCATGTGCCTGTAGAGAATACGGGTCCCAACCGGGCCTCCAGCGCTGGGTGTCTTGGGAGAGTTCCAGTCTCCCCTGGTCCCCTTGGTGCCCCCTCATGGCCTGTGCCAAAAAAAACCCAGATGCTCTGGGCAAACACCTGCTCCTAGCACTGGGCTTCCTGCGCAGGGTGAATGCACTGCCTGTGTGCGTGCACAGGGTGTGGGGTGCTTGGCAACCCCCAGAGACCCACCGTCCTAACCGCTTGTCTTCCCCTCAACAGACCAAGAAGGGGTACCAGAAGACAGTCCTGGAGATCGACACCCCCAAGGTAGAGCAGGTTCCCATCGTCGACATCATGTTCAATGACTTCGGGGAAGCGTCCCAGAAATTCGGATTCCAAGTGGGGCCGGCTTGCTTCCTGGGCTAGGAGCTGCCCAACCCGGTCTCCGAGCAACTCGTGACCTCAGCGCACCGTTCGTGAGTCCTGTGCACGTCCCCATCCTGGACAGTGACGGTCCTCGCTCCCTCCCGCCCAACCTTGTCACGCCTCGGCCTGCACGGCGCTGGGCCCCAAGCCCAGAGAGCACATGTGGAAGGGGCGGGCCGCCCGGAGCTGAATCACATGACCTAGCTGCACCGTGTCCACAGCGCACGCCCGGCAGGACGCGGCCCCGGCCCCCCGTTGTTCACAGGGAGCTGCAGGGTGGGCTGGGGCAGCGCCGTTTGGACATCACTCTTTTTCTAATTCGACTTGAAGACGTGTATTCCCCTGACCTTCAGAAAGCGTTCCGTGGCAAGCCTTATAAAGGTCATCCGCCATCGCCGAAGCCTCCGTCTTTAACAACCCTCTCACGATCGGCTGAGAGGCCAAATGTCACTGCGCGTGTGCCTTCCGACGGATTAAAGGTGCTGCTTTGCTGTGGGTCTGAGTAAACACCGCGTCACGGCGGTACACGTGTCTGCGTGCCGGTGCCTTCCGTCGTGTGGAAGCCCAGCCCCGGGAGGACGGCACGGGCAGGCCTGGATTCGGGCTGCAAGCCGGCTCTGGGCCATCTCCCCACCCTGCCCCATCAAGAACGTGCAATAAATTGGAAATTTGCCAGGTCGTCAGGGGTTCCTGTTGCCGTTGAAAACGCAGGTGCCAGCGCCCCTTTTCAGCTAGGCTGGGATTAGCTCTGGATTTGTTTTTTTATGGGGAGGAAGAAAGAATTCCGATACTTGCCTTTTCTACATGCACTTAGATTAAAACATAGGATAAATTAATTTTAATTGCTTCCTTTTTCCATGTCCCTTCCTGCAGAGCCTGATGGGAGAATGCCCAGGGCAGGGAGCCCACGTTCTCTGTAGACCATAACTAATGAATATTGGTGCTTCTTTTTTACACTCCTCTTCCGTGGTGCTATCTGTTTTAAGATCTAGCAGCAACGCTGGGTGCCTGGTGTGCCTCCTCCCGGCTTCCTTCCCCTGGCTGTGCTGCCAGAGACTTCCAAGGACGTTGGGACACACGCACCGCCGTCCCTCCCCGGGCTCTCACTCTGCACTCAGCCGTGGCGCCCCCTCTGACTAGCCGTGGCATCGCAGTGTGCTCACACACTTCCTGCATTGTACATGCGTAGCCATAGCAGATCGTACTCGGTTGCTGTTTGTGGTGCTAATTTCTGTGTTTGTCCCAAGAACTGAATCGAAGCCTCTCAGAGGTCCCATGGCTCCATCGAGGCCATCCCGGGAGACAAACACGTGCAGTCAACTCTGCTCGTCTTCCCGGGCTGCCAGCAGCGCTGCGTTCCCGTCTGCGCCATGTGGGTGTCCGTCGGCAAGTGTCCCGGACGCCGGCCAGCTGCCTGGGGACTTGGGGCGGGGAGCTCCCTCTGGGTGGCATCTCTTCCCCTCACTGCTGTCCCGGGCGAGGGGGCTGCCTCTGTAGCAGGAGGGCCTGAGGGACTGTGGGGGAAGGCAAGCCCTTTACTGTGAAAAGCTGCCGTGTGCAATGCCCTTTCCTGCCCTGTGGGAAAGGCGAGGGTGCCCCGGGCTGCCCCCCATCGGAATGTGGTTCCAGCAAAGCAGCCCGGGGAAGGAAACCACCAATGCCCACTTCCCGAACTGCCCAGAAAACGAGTCTTGCTCTTGCCAAAGAAAGTCTGGCTTGGAGGTTGTCCAGAAGCCAGGCCGCCAGCACGTGCCAGCGGCTCACGTTCATCTCTGCAGAAGAAAAGCCATACCCGAGAACCGTCACAGGATGCCCTATGGATTTTGTCTAGGTCATGTGATTCTGTTTTGATTTCTCACCCCATCCAATTTGTCCTTCGACTGTCATTTTCTCCCTCTGTCAGTCCCCTCAAAGTCGTTGTAATTGTACTGAAGTTCAAAACGTGTCCCATTCCCAGACACTTTAGCTATGGTATATTGCAATAAAAGTACTTCTTATATTTGCAGAAGCTCTTTTTGTGTAATTTTACTTCTCCCTCCCCACACATGCACATGTAATCGGACGCATGAAAGCAGCAACGAATGGTCAGCAGGAGACCTCGGACAGAGGCTCTGGAGGTCAGGCCTTTAAAGCAGGATTCAGATGGCACATATGCTCCTGTGTGCTCAGGTGTGTTCATGTGTGCTCCCGTAGGCTCACGTGTGCTCCCGTAGGCTCAGGTGTGCTCACATAGGCTCCTGTGTGCTCACATATGCTCTCGTAGGCTCCTGTCGGCTCCCGTACGGTCCTGTCGGCTCCCGGCCTGTCCGCCTGGTCGGACCTGTCCTAAGCCTTAAACATAACGCCCAGGAACAGGTGTTCTCCACTCTCTCAAGCCTGTGCTCATGAATGCTCACGTGTGCTCGGGTATGCTCAGGTAGGCTCCGGTGTGCTCACGTAGGCTCAGGTGTGCTCAGTTGTGCTCACGTATGCTCCCGTAGGCTCCTGTCAGCTCCCGTACGGTCCCGTCGGTCAGACCTGTCTTAAGCCTTAAATATAATGCCCAGGAACAGGTGTTCTCCACTCTCTCAAGCCTGGGTAGCAGAGGAACAACTCATCGTTTTTCAGTGAGTCGAGTTTACTGTCCCCACCGTGAGCAGATGTGAGCGGCTCTCGTAACTGTGACTAGGCCTTCCTGCATCAAACCGACATGTCGTGTGCTGGGATTCAGGACATTCACAGTTTAAAACGACGGCAGAGGTCACAGAGAGAGGAGGAAGGGGCGGCACAGGCCGCCCTGGGGGAGGAAGGGCCTGGCCACGGTGCCTTGTTCCCGTGGGAGGCTGCGAGGACGTGGCTGGGCGCCCATTGGTGAGACTTCCCGGGTGTTTCAACACCCCTGGGCGTCAGACCTTGACACGTGCAGGCCTCTCACCTCCTACCAGAGGAGGGTGCCTGGAGCCTGCCCATGCATCGCAAAGCCTGTAAAGCAGGATCCAGCCTCCTGGTCCCTCGTGGACAGGGGGCAAGGCCAGTGGCTCATCTCGACCAGTGTCCCTGAGCACGTGTGACCTGTGTCTTCCAGTCTGAAGACTGACCCCTCGTGTGTCACCAGGCACCATATGTGAAGTGGTCCTGTTTCCAGTGGCTTCCCAGAGTGAGCCCTGGCCACCGGCATGAACTTGCCGCAAGAGCTCTGGCCTTGTGAAGCCCTTCCTGGGCATTCCCTGTCACTGCAGTCGGCCCTGGTCTGCGTCCTCCAGTGCAGGGCAGGGACCAGCAGCCATCGCACCACCTTGCGAGAAGTGCAGCTCAGGAGTGAGGCCCCAGCGGTACGGTGGGGTTTCTGGGAGGCGGTCTTCGTGGAGGGTTCCCAGCAGAGCCCTCCCTGAGTGAGCCAGCAGGTGCTGCCCATGGCCCGGCCAGCTGGAGGCTGAAGGTAAGTGGAGATGTTGGAGCCCTGTTGAGGGTGCTGTCTCTTGTCCATGGAAGAAACAAATAAGTAAACGTTTAAAAAGGAAACGTGAATCCCTGGGCCCTGCCTCAGATGTGCTGAGCCAGCCGCTCTGGAAGGGCGGGCCCTGTGATTCGGACACACGTCTAAGAGTGAGAACTGCTGGCCTAGACGACCCCGAGATATACAGGAACAGCTGCAGGAAGCGGGGCACTCTTAGAACCACAGAGAGCGCTGTGGCACGGCCACGCCGAGGCAGACACCTGGTGAAGCTGCTGTTTGGTAATGAGCCAGCCACATGCGGCCAGGGGAGGGGCTGCACGTAACCCCGCGGCGTGCACACTGCATGCTCTCGAGCGTGCAGGCCGACTGTCACATGAAGGAGAAGCTCTGGAAAGAGCCTGCGGGGTCTGCAGCTGCCTCTCAAGTCCAGGTTAGGGATGGAGTTGAGAAATGCTGCGAGGGGCAGCACTGATTAGAGCTCAGCCACCCTGGGTCTGAGCAGCACACCCATTCCTGATGAGCACCGTGCAGATCCGGGCACCCGGCGAGTTGTCGGCGTTCGAGGGGGTGGCTCAGGAGATGGACACTAGCGACGACTCCATTGAAGGCTGGTAGGTCTGCAGGGGCCGAGAGGCGGGTCGGGGCAGATGATGCCTGTGGGGAACCGTGCTGCCTGTCGGCCTCTGGAGCGCAGGATCACACAGCCGGGGAGCCGATCGTATCTGAGAGGCACCTGCAGAAGGAGCCCCCCTCCAGCCTGCGCGGAAAGTGACCGGACACTGTGAGCCGCACATGGCCAGCAAAGTGCTCAGCGCCCTAGAGGGCTGCACCTTCTTGTGCAGTGGCCTTTGGTGTGGGCAGGGTGGCCTGGGAGGGAGAACTCCCCAGGAAGTACAGAAACAGGTCTAGGCAGAATGAGGTGGGGAAGGGCTGGGAGCACCCTCTGGGAGTAGCCGTGCCCATGGCTCTGGGCCTGTGGAGTGAGCTCTGACGACAAATGTCATGCCTTAGCGCACCTCCCGGGTTAGAGGCCTCAACCCAGGGGGCTCTCTCCTCCCGGGCCAAGCTCCCAGACATGCCCAGAGAGGCTGGACTGGGGAGCTGATGTCCTCTTGCTGGAGCCCCAGGGACAAAGTGACTCTTGTCCCCTGGGGTACCAGGAACTCCTTTCTTCTCTGCAGTTGCTCAGCCGGGCCAAGCTCCAGCCTCCAAGGCTCAGCTGGGCAGTGCTCCAGCCTCCAAGGCAAATCCCCCAAGGCTTGGGATGGAGAGGCGGAGGGTGGAGAGTGAGGCCCACCTGTGATGGGCAGGGCCAGGGCTTGCAGAGCCCCTCACCTCTCAGTGCTTCCTCCCTCATCCCCAAGACCTGGCTAAAGGAAGCACCTGCTGCAGGTCATGCTGGCACCGGGGCATGCCTGCACACAGTGCCCCCAGGCATTGGGCAGAGCCCTCATTCCCACACCCAGTGGGTAGGCCACGCTGAGTCACCAGCAAGAGCCCCGCCCGTGGGCTGGGTCTTCAGTTGGGGTGAGAGGGCCAGGGTGCTGCTCCCCACTCACAGACTTGGCAGAGAGGCCCCAAGGCATGGAAGTGGCCATACACGGATCTCATGAGTGTCATGGGACGAGAGTCTGTGAGATGCCCTGGAAGCTGGCATGGCTGTCCTGTGTGTTCAGCATTCCAAGGCCCGAGCTGGCTGAGCTGGACGAGGGGAACTGTATGCACAGGAAGCAGGCCACATGCTGCGCTCGACTCAAGGGCACTCTGCTGACCCAGGCGGCCTCTTGGGGCCTGGCTCTGTGCTGTGCTCCAGCCAGGAAACGATCACTTTCCAGGAATATCCCAGCAGGAAATGCTTCAGCATCAGCCATGTACAAGTTCTCACATGAGCACCTGCTTTTCTTCCCCGTTTTTAACTGACAAATGGCAACCAGGTAGGTCTGGGAGAAGCCCAGCTCCCAGGCATACGCCAAAAACTGGCTCGTGCAGCTGCGCAAAATCTCGTTACTTTGGGGACTTCCCCAATTCATTCTAGAATGAGACCCACCAGACTGATAGCTCCTTAAGGGCTAGGACTATTTCAAAGGCTCATCCTAAAGACGGGAGCCAGAGTGAGAAAGAGCACCATCTCTGTGTTCGCTGCATGTACTGCTGCGTAACAAATGGCCCCAAAACGTATGTGTGAGTTCTCGCGGCGGAGGGAGAAGGCGCGGACCGGCAGAGACAAATGTTCTTAGCCAGGATTCAGACCGACCCCGGTGCTGGTGAGAGCGGGACCTTCCCGGGTACATGGAGCTGCCAGGCTCGGTGCCCTCTGACCCCATCACCTGCTCCACTGGTCTCGGCCTCAGCCCAGGGAGGTGATGTGGATGCCAGAGAATCCCTGGGGAACCGAGAGCAGCCTCCGTGGTGTGCAGGGTATGGCGACACCCTCGGGTGCTGAGGCCACTTTGCGGGTCCCGGGTTCGCATCCTGAGGCCTGTTCGTGCTTGCCCATGGTCCTGGCGCCAAGCTGGGGGAAACCATGATGTGAGGACTTGAGGGCACCGTGCTCTCTCCTGTCTCATGGGAAAAATAAGTAACTGCAAACTTTTCTTAAAACTGTGGTCGATCGGGAGGTATCTACGAAAACTTTTCCCCCTCATTTAAAAATACTAAAAGGCAATTAACTTTTAACAATGAAAATGGTAAACACACATGTAGAAGCACAATCTGCGGGAACAGCCCTGAAAAGGACTGCGGGAGGTCGCGGTGGGGTACGCCGCTGTGAAGTGGTGAAACTCACGGGGAGACGGTGTCAGTTCATAGTGGGTCTGCGCCTCCCGGGAGCCGTCAGCGCAGAGTGGAGGCAGGTGCTGGGCCACTGCGGGGAGCCAGGACAAGATGCTGAGAGCTGCTGGGCCAGCCGGGAAGACGGGCGAGGACCAAGGTGGCCGCAGGGTACACTAACCAACCGCATCGGTCCTGGCCGTGTGCAACTAACTAACCCCCAGGGCGGATTATTGGGGTGGGCTAAAACAACAGCCCCGGACGCAAGGACTCTGTTTATAAGAAATGCACTTGCAAGGACGAACAAGACGCATGTAGAACGTGGGTAAGCATGAGCCACGCACAGTGGCCTGGAGGCGCTCTGCGGCCTCGCATACCTCCTGTGCCCCACAAAGAACACGCTGCCAGTGTTTCCTTTGTAGCACACGCAGCATCCTCGATGGATCAGGCATGATATGACGCTTGTGCCTCTGTCTGTCTTGTCTGCCTGCGATAGGGTAGGCTGCAGGAGTGTGGGGAGGCCTCTCGCTCCTCTGTGTCCCAGGGGAATACGCGCCTGGCCTGCAGTAGGTGCGTACAGAAAACTGACCTTTTCTCTCCTACCTGAGAGGCCAAACAGCTGGGGCCGATCTGAATCCATGGTCCAGGTAATGCATTCCGACACTCTGGAGCAGAGAGCCCTGGGAGAGGCCAGTGTTCCTGGGACTTTAGTTTTTGATCATTGTCCTGAATTGCTCCCCCCCTTTTTTTGGAGAGGTTTTTGCCATAGGGCACGTGCACTCACCAGACAGACAGAGAGAGAC